AGGTGTCTGTTCTGTGTTATAAAGGTGTCTGTTCTGTGTTATAAAGGTGTCTGTTCTGCGTTATAAAGGTGGTGTCTGTTCTGTGTTATAAGGTGTCTGTTCTGCGTTATAAAGGTGTCTGTTCTGTGTTATAAAGGTGTCCTGTTCTGCGTTATAAAGGTGTCTGTTCTGCGTTATAAAAGGTGTCTGTTCTGCGTTATAAAGGTGTCTGTTCATGTGTTATAAGGTGGTGTCTGTTCTGCGTTATAAAGGGTGTCTGTTCTGCGTTATAAAGGTGTGTCTGTTCTGAGTTATAAAAGGTGGTGTCTGTTCTGCGTTATAAAGGTGTCTGTTCTGCGTTATAAAGGTGTGTCTGTTCTGTGTTATAAAGGTGTCTGTTCTGCGTTATAAAGGTGGTGTCTGTTCTGCGTTATAAAGGTGTCTGTTCTGCTGTTATAAAGGGTGTCTGTTCTGTGTTATAAAGTGTGTCTGTTCTGTCGTTATAAAGGTGTCTGTTCTGCTGTTATAAAGGTGTTCTGTTCTGCGTTATAAAGGTGTCTGTTCTGCGTTATAAAGGTGTCTGTTCTGTGTTATAAAGGTGCTGTTCTGCGTATAAAGGTGTCTGCGTTATAAAGGTGTCTGTTCTGAGTTATAAAGGTGGTGTCTGTTCTGCGTTATAAAGGTGTCTGTTCTGCGTTATAAAGGTGTCTGTTCTGTGTTATAAAGGTGGTCTGTTCTGTGTTATAAAGGTTGTCTGTTCTGCGTTATAAAGGTGTCTGTTCTGCGTTATAAAGGTGTCTGTTCTGCGTTATAAAGGTGTCTGTTCTGTGTTATAAGGTGTCTGTTCTGCTGTTATAAAGTGGTGTCTGTTCTGCGTTATAAAGGTGTCTGTTCTGCGTTATAAAGGTGTCTGTTCTGCGTTATAAAGGTGTGTCTGTTCTGCGTTATAAAGGGGTCTGTTCTGTGTTATAAAGGTGGTGTCTGTTCTGCGTTATAAAGGTGTCTGTTCTGCGTTATAAAGGTGTCTGTTCTGCGTTATAAAGGTGTCTGTTCTGTGTTATAAAGGTGGTGTCTGTTCTGTGTTATAAAGGTGTCTGTTCTGCGTTATAAAGGTGGTGTCTGTTCTGCGTTATAAAGGTGTCTGTTCTGTGTTATAAAGGTGTCTGTTCTGCGTTATAAAGGTGTCTGTTCTGTGTTATAAAGGTGGTGTCTGTTCTGTGTTATAAAGGTGTCTGTTCTGTGTTATAAAGGTGTCTGTTCTGCGTTATAAAGGTGTCTGTTCTGTGTTATAAAGGTGTCTGTTCTGTGTTATAAAGGTGTCTGTTCTGTGTTATAAAGGTGTCTGTTCTGCGTTATAAAGGTGGTGTCTGTTCTGTGTTATAAAGGTGGTGTCTGTTCTGTGTTATAAAGGTGTCTGTTCTGTGTTATAAAGGTGTCTGTTCTGCGTTATAAAGGTGGTGTCTGTTCTGTGTTATAAAGGTGTCTGTTCTGTGTTATAAAGGTGTCTGTTCTGTGTTATAAAGGTGTCTGTTCTGTGTTATAAAGGTGGTGTCTGTTCTGCGTTATAAAGGTGTCTGTTCTGTGTTATAAAGGTGTCTGTTCTGCGTTATAAAGGTGTCTGTTCTGCGTTATAAAGGTGTCTGTTCTGAGTTATAAAGGTGTCTGTTCTGTGTTATAAAGGTGTCTGTTCTGTGTTATAAAGGTGGTGTCTGTTCTGTGTTATAAAGGTGTCTGTTCTGTGTTATAAAGGTGTCTGTTCTGTGTTATAAAGGTGTCTGTTCTGTGTTATAAAGGTGGTGTCTGTTCTGCGTTATAAAGGTGTCTGTTCTGTGTTATAAAGGTGTCTGTTCTGCGTTATAAAGGTGTCTGTTCTGCGTTATAAAGGTGTCTGTTCTGCGTTATAAAGGTGTCTGTTCTGAGTTATAAAGGTGGTGTCTGTTCTGCGTTATAAAGGTGGTGTCTGTTCTGTGTTATAAAGGTGTCTGTTCTGAGTTATAAAGGTGTCTGTTCTGTGTTATAAAGGTGTCTGTTCTGAGTTATAAAGGTGGTGTCTGTTCTGCGTTATAAAGGTGTCTGTTCTGAGTTATAAAGGTGGTGTCTGTTCTGCGTTATAAAGGTGTCTGTTCTGTGTTATAAAGGTGTCTGTTCTGCGTTATAAAGGTGTCTGTTCTGTGTTATAAAGGTGTCTGTTCTGCGTTATAAAGGTGGTGTCTGTTCTGAGTTATAAAGGTGTCTGTTCTGTGTTATAAAGGTGGTGTCTGTTCTGTGTTATAAAGGTGTCTGTTCTGTGTTATAAAGGTGTCTGTTCTGTGTTATAAAGGTGTCTGTTCTGTGTTATAAAGGTGTCTGTTCTGCGTTATAAAGGTGGTGTCTGTTCTGTGTTATAAAGGTGTCTGTTCTGAGTTATAAAGGTGGTGTCTGTTCTGTGTTATAAAGGTGTCTGTTCTGTGTTATAAAGGTGGTGTCTGTTCTGTGTTATAAAGGTGTCTGTTCTGTGTTATAAAGGTGTCTGTTCTGCGTTATGAAGGTGGTGTCTGTTCTGTGTTATAAAGGTGGTGTCTGTTCTGTGTTATAAAGGTGTCTGTTCTGAGTTATAAAGGTGTCTGTTCTGCGTTATGAAGGTGTCTGTTCTGCGTTATAAAGGTGGTGTCTGTTCTGTGTTATAAAGGTGTCTGTTCTGTGTTATAAAGGTGTCTGTTCTGCGTTATAAAGGTGTCTGTTCTGTGTTATAAAGGTGTCTGTTCTGCGTTATAAAGGTGTCTGTTCTGTGTTATAAAGGTGTCTGTTCTGTGTTATAAAGGTGTCTGTTCTGCGTTATAAAGGTGTCTGTTCTGTGTTATAAAGGTGTCTGTTCTGCGTTATAAAGGTGTCTGTTCTGTGTTATAAAGGTGTCTGTTCTGCGTTATAAAGGTGTCTGTTCTGCGTTATAAAGGTGTCTGTTCTGTGTTATAAAGGTGTCTGTTCTGTGTTATAAAGGTGGTGTCTGTTCTGCGTTATAAAGATGTCTGTTCTGCGTTATAAAGGTGGTGTCTGTTCTGCGTTATAAAGGTGTCTGTTCTGAGTTATAAAGGTGGTGTCTGTTCTGTGTTATAAAGATGTCTGTTCTGCGTTATAAAGGTGGTGTCTGTTCTGTGTTATAAAGGTGTCTGTTCTGTGTTATGAAGGTGGTGTCTGTTCTGCGTTATAAAGGTGTCTGTTCTGTGTTATAAAGGTGGTGTCTGTTCTGTGTTATAAAGGTGGTGTCTGTTCTGCGTTATAAAGGTGTCTGTTCTGTGTTATAAAGGTGTCTGTTCTGCGTTATAAAGGTGGTGTCTGTTCTGTGTTATAAAGGTGGTGTCTGTTCTGCGTTATAAAGGTGTCTGTTCTGTGTTATAAAGGTGTCTGTTCTGTGTTATAAAGGTGTCTGTTCTGTGTTATAAAGGTGTCTGTTCCGCGTTATAAAGGTGTCTGTTCTGCGTTATGAAGGTGGTGTCTGTTCTGCGTTATAAAGGTGTCTGTTCTGTGTTATAAAGGTGTCTGTTCTGTGTTATAAAGGTGTCTGTTCTGCGTTATAAAGGTGTCTGTTCTGCGTTATGAAGGTGGTGTCTGTTCTGCGTTATAAAGGTGTCTGTTCTGTGTTATAAAGGTGGTGTCTGTTCTGTGTTATAAAGGTGTCTGTTCTGTGTTATAAAGGTGGTGTCTGTTCTGTGTTATAAAGGTGTCTGTTCTGCGTTATAAAGGTGTCTGTTCTGCGTTATAAAGGTGGTGTCTGTTCTGCGTTATAAAGGTGTCTGTTCTGTGTTATAAAGGTGTCTGTTCTGTGTTATAAAGGTGTCTGTTCTGCGTTATAAAGGTGTCTGTTCTGTGTTATAAAGGTGTCTGTTCTGTGTTATAAAGGTGGTGTCTGTTCTGTGTTATAAAGGTGGTGTCTGTTCTGTGTTATAAAGGTGTCTGTTCTGCGTTATAAAGGTGGTGTCTGTTCTGTGTTATAAAGGTGTCTGTTCTGCGTTATAAAGGTGGTGTCTGTTCTGTGTTATAAAGGTGTCTGTTCTGCGTTATAAAGGTGTCTGTTCTGTGTTATAAAGGTGTCTGTTCTGCGTTATAAAGGTGTCTGTTCTGTGTTATAAAGGTGGTGTCTGTTCTGTGTTATAAAGGTGTCTGTTCTGTGTTATAAAGGTGTCTGTTCTGTGTTATAAAGGTGTCTGTTCTGCGTTATAAAGGTGTCTGTTCTGTGTTATAAAGGTGGTGTCTGTTCTGTGTTATAAAGGTGTCTGTTCTGTGTTATAAAGGTGTCTGTTCTGCGTTATAAAGGTGGTGTCTGTTCTGTGTTATAAAGGTGGTGTCTGTTCTGCGTTATAAAGGTGGTGTCTGTTCTGCGTTATAAAGGTGTCTGTTCTGCGTTATAAAGGTGGTGTCTGTTCTGTGTTATAAAGGTGTCTGTTCTGTGTTATAAAGGTGTCTGTTCTGCGTTATAAAGGTGTCTGTTCTGTGTTATAAAGGTGGTGTCTGTTCTGTGTTATAAAGGTGTCTGTTCTGAGTTATAAAGGTGTCTGTTCTGTGTTATAAAGGTGTCTGTTCTGTGTTATAAAGGTGGTGTCTGTTCTGTGTTATAAAGGTGTCTGTTCTGTGTTATAAAGGTGGTGTCTGTTCTGAGTTATAAAGGTGTCTGTTCTGTGTTATAAAGGTGGTGTCTGTTCTGTGTTATAAAGGTGTCTGTTCTGTGTTATAAAGGTGTCTGTTCTGAGTTATAAAGGTGGTGTCTGTTCTGTGTTATAAAGGTGTCTGTTCTGTGTTATAAAGGTGGTGTCTGTTCTGAGTTATAAAGGTGTCTGTTCTGTGTTATAAAGGTGGTGTCTGTTCTGTGTTATAAAGGTGTCTGTTCGCTCGTTCCGCGAGGCTCGCAACACGACGTCCGCTCTGTCTCCCCCCCCTTACGTCACGTCTACAAGTCTGTCCGTCTGTCCGTCTGTCCGTCTGTCCGTCTGTCCGTCTGTCCGTCTGTCCGTCTGTCCGTCTGTCCGCCTGTCCGCCCCGTGTGTCAGGGGCCATCTACAGCCTCCTGTCCCTGGGGCTGCCCCTGGTCCAGTGTCTCCCCGCCACCGTCTGCTGCCTCCTCCTGCTGCTGCTGCTGCTGCTGCTCAAGGCCAGGGAGCCGGTGGCCGCCGAGGGTCGCCTCAAGACCAAAACCTCCTGAGAGGGGGCTGGGTGGGTGGGGTGGGGTGGGTGGGGGTGAGGTTCATACACGGCGAGTAGGTGTGAGGGGAGGGGGGGGTGGGAGCGAGGGGATTGGGGGAGGGAGGGGGGTAAGGGGGGGAGGGGGTGGGGGGAGGGAGTGAGGGAGGGGTGGGAGGGGGGGAGGTGAGTAAGGGGGGGTGGGAGTCGAGGGAGGGAGGGGGGGTAAGGGGGGTAGGGAGGAGGGGAGGGAGGGGGACTTAAGGGGGGAAGGGGAGGGGGGTAAGGGGGGGAGGGGGGAAGGGGAGGGGGGTAAGGGGGGGGAGGAGGGAAGGGGAGGGGGGTAAGGGAGGGGGGAGGGGCTAGAGGGAGGGAGGCAGGACAGGGGAGGAGTGGACTTTGGGGAGAGGGAGGGATGGGTGAATGCGTTGTGAAGGAGAGCGAGGAGGTGTCCACCCAGCTGAGTGAGGGGTAGGGGTGTAGCAGGATGAGGGTCGGTAAACACATCTCGCCTTCGCTTGTTATTTGGACCAAACATCACCATTGCCATCGTAACCATGTAGAGACCAAACTGCGTCGTTATTCTAATTGACATCGTCATCATACAAGTCGCGTCATCCTCATCACCAGTTGCATCATCATTATAAGTTGCAGCAGAAGCTTCATCGATGATCATTTACAACTTAATTGCGATTATTAATTGTGCTTATTTTTCGAGGTTAAGTCTGTGATTGTGGAATGCTTTTGACGTCGCCCGCCAGCCGAGTTGCCCCCCCGCCCCGAACCAACACCGCCCCCACCCCCCCCTCCCCTCCCTGAAAACTAAAGAGCTTTTTAGCTCTACGGGCTTTAGTCGGTAAACAAAACGGCCGATTGCGATTCATTGAAAGGACGACTTCGTCGTCGTCATTGTCGTCATCATCGTCATCATCGTTATCATCGTTATCATCGTCGTCATTATCATCATCGCCATTATCATCATTGCCACCGTCGGTATTATCATCATCGTCATCGCCACCCTCGGTATCGTCATCATCATCATCGCCATCATCATCATCGTCATCATCGTCATCATCATCATCGTCATCATCAGTTTAACACGTAGGCTTTCGCGACCAATATTATTCATAATAAAGGTTTTGGGTTAGATCGCGTTTATTTATAAATGTGTCGTAACCCTCCACCACCCGACACGGCCAATCAGCAAAAAAAGTGTCACGTTGACAAAAGACAAATAATTCACTACTTTAGCCCACCGGTGTGTTGAAGAGTGAATCCACAACATTTACAGTTTGAGTACGACGTTTCGCTGGTAAATACATCCAGCATCATCGGGCAATTCGCCAGAATGGTAAAGCCCTCGCTTGCTCCCGGTTTTATTTAGAGCAGCAGGGTGACGTCATCACTTAACTCATCAGGTGCAGTGATTAGAGGCGGAGGGGGGGTATTGTAATTATATAATCGATTAGTAATCAGTCAATGGTTATGATTAGCAATGAGGGTGGGTGTGTGTGTGTGTGGGGAGCGATAGTGTAGCGGTTAGCGCTACGCTGCGCTATGAACCTGGCGACCCGGGTTCGATTCCCGCTCACGGCCAACACCAGTGACGATTATCTGAACCGGTCCCGGGCCTCCCCTAGGTCGACCCAGCCTCAAATGAGTACCTGGTGCGGTGTGTAAACATCGTCACTAGGGAGACAAAGGCGGTCGGGCGTGGTGCTGGCCACCCACCCCCGCGTGTACCGTTCTCGCCTTCATAGGTGCTCGCTAACAGCACTTGCCCCTACAGTCTGTTAAGGCTACACGGGGGATCTTTGTGGTTGTGTGTGGTTTGCGGGGGGTTGCGGAGACGCGACGATTTGCGTCCACGTGGCGTGAACCTCGCGTCTCCCTTTGTCTTCTCGCGAGAGAAGGGGTTGACGGTGGCGGTGTCGTCCGCGCCGTCCGCTTGCGCTCATCGTGAGCCGTGGCCGCCGAGGCTCCGTCCTGGTTTTGTGCTTTGTCGCTTGGCGGCGGCGGCGGCAGCGGCAGGAGCAGGAACCGTGATCGGTCGCAAAAAAATGAAACCCACGCGCGGGGTTTTCGATTCGTGTCACGCCGTGGGCTTTTGGTCTGCGACGCGTCAAGTGCACCGCGTTGGCAATGAGAAGCGAATCGCTGCGTAAAATAAAAGTTTAAATCACAGACGCCGCATCGGACACATTTCTGGCGTTCCGACGACACGCGCAACCTTCACGCGAGTCTCTGTGTGTCTCTATGAGTCTCTGTGTATCTCTATGAGTCTGTGTATCTCTATGAGTCTCTGTGTGTCTCTATGAGTCTCTGTGTATCTCTATGAGTCTCAGTGTATCTCTATGAGTCTCTGTGTATCTCTATGAGTCTCTGTGTGTCTCTATGAGTCTCTGTGTATCTCTATGAGTCTGTGTATCTCTATGTGTCTCTGTGTGTCTCTATGAGTCTCTGTGTATCTCTATGAGTCTCTGTGTGTCTCTATGAGTCTCTGTGTATCTCTATGAGTCTCTGTGTATCTCTATGAGTCTCTGTGTGTCTCTATGAGTCTCTGTGTATCTCTATGAGTCTGTGTATCTCTATGAGTCTCTGTGTGTCTCTATGAGTCTCTGTGTATCTCTATGAGTCTCAGTGTATCTCTATGAGTCTCTGTGTATCTCTATGAGTCTCTGTGTGTCTCTATGAGTCTCTGTGTATCTCTATGAGTCTGTGTATCTCTATGAGTCTCTGTGTGTCTCTATGAGTCTCTGTGTATCTCTATGAGTCTGTGTATCTCTATGAGTCTCTGTGTATCTCTATGAGTCTCTGTGTCTCTATGAGTCTCTGTGTGTCTCTATGAGTCTCTGTGTGTCTCTATGAGTCTCTGTGTGTCTCTATGAGTCTCTGTGTATCTCTATGAGTCTCTGTGTATCTGTATGAGTCTCTGTGTATCTCTATGAGTCTCTGTGTATCTCTATGAGTCTCTGTGTGTCTCTATGAGTCTCTGTGTATCTCTATGAGTCTCTGTGTATCTCTATGAGTCTCTGTGTATCTCTATGAGTCTCTTATCTCTATGAGTCTCTGTGTGTCTCTATGAGTCTCTGTGTATCTCTATGCGTCTCTGTGTATCTCTATGAGTCTCTGTGTATCTCTATGAGTCTCTGTGTATCTCTATGTGTCTCTGTGTATCTCTATGAGTCTCTGTGTATCTCTATGAGTCTCTGTGTATCTCTGTGTATCTCTCTGAGTCTCTGTGTATCTCTATGAGTCTCTGTGTATCTCTTTGAGTCTCTGTGTGTCTCTATGAGTCTCTGTGTATCTCTATGAGTCTCTATGAGTCTCTGTGTATCTCTATGAGTCTCTGTGTATCTCTATGAGTCTCTGTGTATCTCTATGAGTCTCTGTGTATCTCTATGAGTCTCTGTGTATCTCTATGTGTCTCTGTGTATCTCTATGAGTCTCTGTGTATCTCTATGAGTCTCTGTGTATCTCTAGGAGTCTCTGTGTATCTCTAGGAGTCTCTGTGTATCTCTAGGAGTCTCTGTGTATCTCTATGAGTCTCTGTGTAACTCTATGAGTCTCTGTGTATCTCTATGAGTCTCTGTGTATCTCTATGAGTCTCTGTGTATCTCTATGAGTCTCTGTGTATCTCTGTGTATCTCTATGAGTCTCTGTGTATCTCTATGAGTCTCTGTGTATCTCTATGTGTCTCTGTGTATCTCTATGAGTCTCTGTGTATCTCTATGAGTCTCTGTGTATCTCTATGAGTCTCTGTATCTCTGTGTATCTCTGAGTCTCTGTGTATCTCTATGAGTCTCTGTGTATCTCTATGAGTCTCTGTGTATCTCTATGAGTCTCTGTGTATCTCTGTGTATCTCTATGAGTCTCTGTGTATCTCTATGTGTCTCTGTGTATCTCTATGAGTCTCTGTGTATCTCTATGAGTCTCTGTGTATCTCTGAGTCTCTGTGTATCTCTATGAGTCTCTGTGTATCTCTATGAGTCTCTGTGTAACTCTATGAGTCTCTGTGTATCTCTATGAGTCTCTGTGTATCTCTATGAGTCTCTGTGTATCTCTATGAGTCTCTGTGTATCTCTATGTGTCTCTGTATCTATATGTGTCTCTGTGTATCTCTATGAGTCTCTGTGTATCTCTATGAGTCTCTGTGTATCTCTATGAGTCTCTGTGTGTCTCTATGAGTCTCTGTGTATCTCTATGAGTCTCTGTGTATCTCTATGAGTCTCTGTGCATCTCTATGAGTCTCTGTGTATCTCTATGAGTCTCTGTGTATCTCTATGAGTCTCTTATCTCTATGAGTCTCTGTGTGTCTCTATGAGTCTCTGTGTATCTCTATGCGTCTCTGTGTATCTCTATGAGTCTCTGTGTATCTCTATGTGTCTCTGTGTATCTCTATGAGTCTCTGTGTATCTCTATGAGTCTCTGTGTATCTCTCTGAGTCTCTGTGTATCTCTATGAGTCTCTGTATATCTCTATGAGTCTCTGTGTGTCTCTATGAGTCTCTGTATCTCTATGAGTCTCTATGAGTCTCTGTGTATCTCTATGAGTCTCTATGAGTCTCTATGAGTCTCTGTGTATCTCTATGAGTCTCTGTGTATCTCTATGTGTCTCTGTGTATCTCTATGAGTCTCTGTGTATCTCTGAGTCTCTGTGTATCTCTATGAGTCTCTGTGTATCTCTATGAGTCTCTGTGTATCTCTATGAGTCTCTGTGTAACTATGAGTCTCTGTGTATCTCTTTGAGTCTCTGTGTATCTCTATGAGTCTCTGTGTATCTCTATGTGTCTCTGTGTATCTCTATGAGTCTCTGTGTATCTCTGTGAGTCTCTGTGTATCTCTATGAGTCTCTGTATCTCTGTGTATCTCTATGAGTCTCTGTGTATCTCTATGAGTCTCAGTGTATCTCTATGAGTCTCTGTGTGTCTCTATGAGTCTCTGTGTATCTCTATGAGTCTCTGTGTATCTCTATGAGTCTCTGTGCATCTCTATGAGTCTCTGTGTATCTCTATGAGTCTCTGTGTATCT